CAAGAGCAATCATATCAAATTGACCTTCAAGGAGCTGAGATAAAGTTTTCAATTCCTCTAAATCATTGAAATCCAAAGTGATTGCCCGCTCATGTTCAGGCATTTGGTGGTTTAGATTTGAGAAAACATACTCATCAGTAAATCGCACGGATATGTTCTCTCTACGGCCATCTGCACGAGCGAGCTCATCAACTCCTGCAACATCCGCTCCTAATACAAGCTTTAATTGGCCCGAACCAAGTTTTTCTTCATATTTCACAATATTTTGCGCTTGCCACTTAATCAACCCAATCCTGTCCGTTTTCTGAAGGGCTGCAAACTCTTCACTATCACTCCCATAAGAAACCAGTGGAAAAAATGCCAAAAGAACCTACAAATAAAAGCCTATATTTTTCATTCTTCTTCTCCTAATTTTTAAACTCACTCAGACAAGAACGATCGCTTTATCATCTGTGTGGAAGGGGGTCTCAATACTCTTATCTGGGTTTAAGTGAACACCATGATTTTTCTGTGTATCGAAACGTTCTTCGGCGATTTGTACACCAAGGGCCGTATGCCCTTTACGGGCTGCAGATTCCACCAGTGTTGCAAATGTATACGCTTGACCTTTTTTAATATAATTCCCCACCGGAAGCAGTGAAATATTTGTATGATTAATATCCGTAATCTGGCGAATAATGTGTTCCTTAGAACGATGCGTAATAATCTGTGCGATCATCTTACTGATAAACTGGTTACTGATCACAAAATCTTCGTATGAAGCAACATCCAACAAAGACTTATTACTCACATTATTAATTTCTGTCGTGATAGAAGGCTTTTTCTTCAATCTAGACATCAGATCACGCACATTAAGAAGCGTGATAATGACTTCTGTATCTCTATCCTCTGCATCATCGTCTTTTAAAATCATCACTTTATCGAAAGATTCAAACTTAATATTTTCAAGATTCCCCCGAACAGCAGGGCTGAGATCATCATAGGTAAGGTCTGCATACTCTTCTAAAGCAGCTCGATCTCTAGGACCCATTTCATTTTTAGACAAGATCGTTACATTCAGCTTTTTCTTGTATTTTTTAGAAAGCCCTCGAATGATGTGTTGAACTCTTGGATTCAAACCTAGAATCAAAACATTTGAAATCGACTCTACAGGTTCTTCCTTAGAGACAATACTTTTTTCATCAATCTTTAATTCATGCTCTAACCGTTTTGCTTGATCTTTAGATTCAGCCAGCAGGATGATTTTATCCCCTTCTTCAAGAAGGGTCTCCCCAGCAGGATTTAAATTCACTTCTCCATTTTTCACAAATCCTACAATGCAGGCATGAGGAAATTCATGTTGCATTTGATGATAAGACTGCCCCAAAAGCTTTTTATCGAAGCGATCCACAATATAAAATTTATTACCTGAAAAGCTGAAAATCTCATTATAAATCAGAGATAATCCTGACTGTTCAATCGTTTGCGCAATCAACTTTGTTAAAAAGTTCTGTGTAGAAAGAACGACAGATTTGTTTTCTGAGATATTTTTTACCAAAGGAACCAACCCTTTGTCGTTAATTTCAATGATCGTTTTTGTTAGCAAATCATCCTTCTTATATTTTCGAAGATTTAAAACATGCTTAACAACATTGATATCTCCATTCTTTTCATCATTTAGAACGATAATATTTTTTGCTTCTTGTATGTTCGTAATTTCAAAAATACGGGGGTCTCCAACCTGCCCACGACGACACACATACTTAATTTTTTTGAGGCCCTCTACCTCTGATTCTATGGTTTCTTCCATTTCTGTTCTATCTTTGTTGGCAAAGATCACAACAGAAGATTTGTGCCAATTATCCTCATGATGTTCAACAAGCTCTCTTAAAATCGCAATAATTTTGGAAGACCACCCAATGATCACTGTATGGTCTGTCTCTTGAACCTTTGTACGACCACGCCGCAAGACATCAATACGTTCCCCAAGCGCTGTATCAATGATACCAATCAATGTAGAGAAAATCACAATACCAAAGAGCGAAACCCCCAATGTCAAAGCAAGGAGCAACGCTGTTCCTTCATCATCCGCCATATTTCCCGGATCCAACGTACGATTCAGCATTTTCCAAATTGTCTGTGCCAGAGTCTCACCCTCTTCTGCAATCCCAAGAGACGCGATCACCAAAGACACGGCTGAAACAACAAAGAGTACCGCAAGTGTCAGCCAACCGACCAACCACATTGTCCCCCGTGATAAAGTATTATCAAAAAGATAAATAAATTTTCGGATGAAATTCATGATGTTTCTCCCACACATTTTTGTCTTATTATGCACTTTAAATGTTTAATTAAGATTTAACATTTAAAAAATTCTTAAAAAATACTCAGACAAATCAATCTCATACCCCTCAAAACATTCTCACTTTTTACAGGCCTAGATTTTTTCTCAAAAATCCTTGACCCTAACGTTACGTCACCCCTTATGAACAACAAATGAGGAGAGACCTTATGCATTGGACAACGAAAGAATTTGGCCGCTTAGTAGATGTTTCTGTCAGAACGCTACACTATTACGACCAAACAGGGCTTTTAAAGCCTTCGGCACGCGCGTCCAATGGCTATCGCCTTTAC